CTCAGGGTGGGTTCTCGGTAGGGCTCGGGGCGGGCTCCAGGTACTCAACTGACGGGTTCCAGTTCACTCAACTGGCGGGCTCCGGTTCACTCAACTGGCGGGCTCCGGTTTATTAAACTGGCGGGCTCCGGGTGTTTGACTGGTCGGGCTCCGGGTGGGTGACTGTTCGGGCTCCAGGTGGGTGTCTGTCCGGCTTCGGGTATGTTCTTGGTAGGGCTTCGGGGTGGGTTCTTGGTAGGACTTAGGGTTGGCTCCCGGTCAGGCTCAGGGTGGGCTCTTTCGGGTTCGGGATGGGCTCTCGGGCTTGGGGTACCTCTGTAGGGCTCGGGGTAGGTTCTTGGTCGGGCCCAGGGTGGGTTCTCTGTAGGGCTCAGGGTGTTTTCATGGTAGGACTAGGGGTGGTTCTCTATAGGGATCAGGGTGGGTTCTCGGTAGGGCTCTGGGTGGGTTCTCGGTCGGGCTTGGGGGTGGGTTTTCGGTAGGGCTTGGGGTGGGTTCTCGGTAGGGCTTGGGGTGGGTTCTCGGTAGGGCTTGGGGTGGGTTCTCGGAAGGGCTTGGGGGTGGGTTCTCGGTAGGGCTTGGGGCTGAGTTCTCGGTAGGGCTTGGGGCTGGGTTCTCGGTAGGGCTTGGTGGGTTCTCGGGGGCTTGGGGCTGGGTTCTCGGTAGGGCTTGGGGGGGGGTGGGTTCTCGGTAGGGCTTGGGGGGTGGGTTCTCGGTAGGGCTGGGGGGTGGGTTCTCGGTAGGGCTTGGGGGGGGTTCTCGGTAGGGCTTGGGGGGTGGGGGCTTCTCGGTAGGGCTTGGGGTGGGTTCTCGGTAGGGCTTGGGGGGGGCTGGGTTCTCGGTAGGGCTTGGGGCTGAGTTCTCGGTAGGGCTTGGGGGCTGGGTTCTCGGTAGGGCTTGGGGGACTGGGTTCTCGGTAGGGCTTGGGGGTGGGTTCTCGGTAGGGCTTGGGGTGGGTTCTCGGTAGGGCTTGGGGGTGGGTTCTCGGTAGGGCTTGGGGTGAGTTCTCGGTAGGGCTTGGGGCTGGGTTCTCGGTAGGGCTTGGGGCTGGGTTCTCGGTAGGGCTTGGGGGTGGGTTCTCGGTAGGGCTTGGGGGGTGGGTTCTCGGTAGGGCTTGGGGGGTGGGTTCTCGGTAGGGCTTGGGGGGTGGGTTCTCGGTAGGACTCGGGGTGGGCTCTTTCGGGATCGGGATAGGCTCTCGGGCTTGGGGAACCTCTGTAGGGCTCGGGGTAGGTTCTTGGTCGGGCTCAGGGTGGGTTTTCGGTAGGGCTCGGGGCGGGCTCCAGGTACTCAACTGACGGGTTCCAGTTCACTCAACTGGCGGGCTCCGGTTCACTCAACTGGCGGGCTCCGGTTTACTAAACTGGCGGGCTCCGGGTGTTTGACTGGTCGGGCTCCGGGTGGGTGACTGTTCGGGCTCCAGGTGGGTGTCTGTCCGGCTTCGGGTGGGTCCTTGGTAGGGCTTGGGGTGGGTTCTTGGTAGGTATTAGGGCAGGGTTCTTGGTAGGGCTTGGGGGTGGGTTCTTGGTAGGGCTTGGGGGTGGGTTCTTGGTAGGGCTTGGGGGTGGGTTCTTGGTAGGGCTTGGGGGTGGGTTCTTGGTAGGGCTTGGGGGTGGGTTCTTGGTAGGGCTTGGGGGTGGGTTCTTGGGGTTTGGGGTTGGCTCCCGGTCACGCTCGGGGTGGGCTCTTTCGGGATAGGCTCTCGGGCTTGGGGAACCTCTGTAGGGCTCGGGGTAGGTTCTTGGTCGGGCTCAGGGTGGGTTCTCGGTAGGGCTCGGGGCAGGCTCCAGGTACTCAACTGACGGGTTCCAGTTCACTCAACTGGCGGGCTCCGGTTCACTCAACTGGCGGGCTCCGGTTTACTAAACTGGCGGGCTCCGGGTGTTTGACTGGTCGGGCTCCGGGTGGGTGACTGTTCGGGCTCCGGGTGGGTGTCTGTCCGGCTTCGGGTGGGTTCTCGGTAGGGCTTGGGGGTGGGTTTCCGGTAGGGCTTGGGGTGGGTTCTCGGTAGGGCTTGGGGGTGGGTTCTCGGTAGGGCTTGGGGCTGGGTTCTCGGTAGGGCTTGGGGCTGAGTTCTCGGTAGGGCTTGGGGCTGGGTTCTCGGTAGGGCTTGGGGCTGGGTTCTCGGTAGGGCTTGGGGCTGGGTTCTCGGTAGGGCTTGGGGGGTGGGTTCTCGGTAGGGCTTGGGGGTGGGTTCTTGGTAGGGCTTGGGGGGTGGGTTCTCGGTAGGGCTCGGGGTGGGCTCTTTCGGGATCGGGATAGGCTCTCGGGCTTGGGGAACCTCTGTAGGGCTCGGGGTAGGTTCTTGGTCGGGCTCAGGGTGGGTTCTCGGTAGGGCTCGGGGCGGGCTCCAGGTACTCAACTGACGGGTTCCAGTTCACTCAACTGGCGGGCTCCGGTTCACTCAACTGGCGGGCTCCGGTTTACTAAACTGGCGGGCTCCGGGTGTTTGACTGGTCGGGCTCCGGGTGGGTGACTGTTCGGGCTCCAGGTGGGTGTCTGTCCGGCTTCGGGTGGGTCCTTGGTAGGGCTTGGGGTGGGTTCTTGGTAGGTATTAGGGCAGGGTTCTTGGTAGGGCTTGGGGGTGGGTTCTTGGTAGGGCTTGGGGGTGGGTTCTTGGTAGGGCTTGGGGGTGGGTTCTTGGTAGGGTTTGGGGTTGGCTCCCGGTCAGGCTCGGGGTGGGCTCTTTCGGGATAGGCTCTCGGGCTTGGGGAACCTCTGTAGGGCTCGGGGTAGGTTCTTGGTCGGGCTCAGGGTGGGTTCTCGGTAGGGCTCGGGGCAGGCTCCAGGTACTCAACTGACGGGTTCCAGTTCACTCAACTGGCGGGCTCCGGTTCACTCAACTGGCGGGCTCCGGTTTACTAAACTGGCGGGCTCCGGGTGTTTGACTGGTCGGGCTCCGGGTGGGTGACTGTTCGGGCTCCAGGTGGGTGTCTGTCCGGCTTCGGGTGGGTTCTCGGTAGGGCTTGGGGGTGGGTTCTCGGTAGGGCTTGGGGTGGGTTCTCGGTAGGGCTTGGGGTGGGTTCTCGGTAGGGCTTGGGGCTGGGTTCTCGGTTGGGCTTGGGGCTGAGTTCTCGGTTGGGCTTGGGGCTGAGTTCTCGGTAGGGCTTGGGGCTGGGTTCTCGGTAGGGCTTGGGGCTGGGTTCTCGGTAGGGCTTGGGGCTGGGTTCTCGGTAGGGCTTGGGGGGTTCTGGGTTCTTGGTAGGGCTTGGGGGGTGGGTTCTCGGTAGGGCTTGGGGGTGGGTTCTCGGGGTGGGCTCTTTCGGGATCGGGATAGGCTCTCGGGCTTGGGGAACCTCTGTAGGGCTCGGGGTAGGTTCTTGGTCGGGCTCAGGGTGGGTTCTCGGTAGGGCTCGGGGCAGGCTCCAGGTACTCAACTGACGGGTTCCAGTTCACTCAACTGGCGGGCTCCGGTTCACTCAACTGGCGGGCTCCGGTTTACTAAACTGGCGGGCTCCGGGTGTTTGACTGGTCGGGCTCCGGGTGGGTGACTGTTCGGGCTCCAGGTGGGTGTCTGTCCGGCTTCGGGTGGGTCCTTGGTAGGGCTTGGGGTGGGTTCTTGGTAGGTATTAGGGCAGGGTTCTTGGTAGGGCTTGGGGGTGGGTTCTTGGTAGGGCTTGAGGGTGGGTTCTTGGTAGGGTTTGGGGTTGGCTCCCGGTCAGGCTCGGGGTGGGCTCTTTCGGGATAGGCTCTCGGGCTTGGGGAACCTCTGTAGGGCTCGGGGTAGGTTCTTGGTCGGGCTCAGGGTGGGTTCTCGGTAGGGCTCGGGGCAGGCTCCAGGTACTCAACTGAAGGGTTCCAGTTCACTCAACTGGCGGGCTCCGGTTCACTCAACTGGCGGGCTCCGGTTTACTAAACTGGCGGGCTCCGGGTGTTTGACTGGTCGGGCTCCGGGTGGGTGACTGTTCGGGCTCCAGGTGGGTGTCTGTCCGGCTTCGGGTGGGTTCTTGGTAGGGCTTGGGGGTGGGTTCTCGGTAGGGCTTGAGGTGGGTTCTCGGTAGGGCTTGGGGGTGGGTTCTCGGTAGGGCTTGGGGCTGGGTTCTCGGTAGGGCTTGGGGCTGAGTTCTCGGTAGGGCTTGGGGCTGGGTTCTCGGTAGGGCTTGGGGCTGGGTTCTCGGTAGGGCTTGGGGCTGGGTTCTCGGTAGGGCTTGGGGCTGGGTTCTCGGTAGGGCTTGGGGCTGGGTTCTCGGTAGGGCTTGGGGCTGGGTTCTCGGTAGGGCTTGGGGGGTGGGTTCTCGGTAGGGCTTGGGGGGTGGGTTCTTGGTAGGGCTTGGGGGGTTGGGTTCTCGGTAGGGCTCGGGGTGGGCTCTTTCGGGATCGGGATAGGCTCTCGGGCTTGGGGAACCTCTGTAGGGCTCGGGGTAGGTTCCTGGTCGGGCTCAGGGTGGGTTAATTCTCGGTAGGGCTCGGGGCGGGCTCCAGGTACTCAACTGGCGGGCTCCGGTTTACTAAACTGGCGGGCTCCGGGTGTTTGACTGGTCGGGCTCCGGGTGGGTGACTGTTCGGGCTCCAGGTGGGTGTCTGTCCGGCTTCGGATGGGTCCTTGGTAGGGCTTGGGGTGGGTTCTTGGTAGGTATTAGGGCAGGGTTCTTGGTAGGGCTTGGGGGTGGGTTCTTGGTAGGGCTTGGGGGGTGGGTTCTTGGTAGGGTTTGGGGTTGGCTCCCGGTCACTCTCGGGGTGGGCTCTTTCGGGATAGGCTCTCGGGCTTGGGGAACCTCTGTAGGGCTCAGGGTGGGTTCTCGGTAGGGCTCGAGGCAGGCTCCAGGTACTCAACTGGCGGGCTCCGGTTCACTCAACTGGCGGGCCCCGGTTTACTAAACTGGCGGGCTCCGGAAGGGCGCCTCACAGTTCCCGTTCTCCTTGACGGGGCAGGTGCAAGAGACGAAGACGTCCGTCATGATATCCTTCGCCATACCTTCCGCTTCATCCGTCATGTCCGCGGCCTGAAGAGACTGTAAAATTTGTCGCCTGAGGAGATTGTAGGGTCTATGGCCTGAAGAGACTATAGGGACCCCATCCCTTAGCTATTTCCCGGTATCGGGCAGCCGGGGCGCATCCGATCCCACGATCGTCGTCGCCCCTAAATCAACACAACAACAACAACATATTAGGATTAAGGACCTGCTAGGAACGCCCTGCGTGCTGGTGGTGGCTTTACACACGTGTAACAAACTCTTGTGTATATAAATAACAAAATGCTGCAACAAGTGTGAATGGAGGAGGCAGTAGTGGTGTAGGGAAGGTATAGTGTAGGAGAGATCGGCGAGGCGTGTGTAGTGGACCATCACCATGGAAGTGTGAGTATGGTCACTATTTTTTATCTTATTATTATTAACAAGCTTATTTTTTTATCTTTTATTGTTATTAACAAGCTTAGGTATACACAGCAATGTGCTGCAATCCTGTTCTCTGTGAAAGATTACAAAGAGTAGATCCAAAACAAGCTATAAGTTTATATCTATATAGCTTTATGTAGCCATATCACGGCCTTATGTTATTGGCATTTAATGTTAGTGCAAACTGTCATATTCCCCATAAATTAGCATTTTTATAGTCGGCCTTTCAGGTATGTTTTGTCTTAATTATTTGTACATAGATATGAAGCTGTGACGAGGTCAACCTTGTGTGGAGGAAATTGAAGAGTCGTGATTGTTAACAACTGAAGCATTGTGGATGTAATGGGCTGTTAGGCACTGTTGTCTGGCCATATTCAATTTCTTTCTTTATTATGCACCCCATACCCATCCCGTGGGCGGTGATGTAAAGGATTACAGAGGCACATAATCGGTTCAGGAACTGAACCCTCTAGTTCGTTTAGCTAAGCAAATAACAATTTTTTGACGCTAGTTACAAAATTATTAATGTTATATATACATGTACACATTCTCATACATGTACATATATATACGTATACACATATACATTCACATACATATAGGAAGTAGTAATATAACACTCCTGTGTGTACAGTGGCAAGTGTCTTCTGGGTTTATAATGTATGGAAATAGTTTCTAAGTGGTAAAGGGGCATGTCACAGTATATGATATACTTGTATGTATATTCTATCCATTTGATTATCCATTCTATCCATAATACAGTACTGTACGTCAAATTGTACCCATGTTCGTTCACCAGCATATGCAAAAGCCTACCTGACCCGACCTAGCCTAACCCCACATTAACCAGCCCCATCTAATTGAACTTTACCTATTTCAGCCTTACTTGACCAAATCAACCCTAACGATATACAGTTTTGACAATTCATAAATGAGCTTTGTCGAAATAACAAAACATTTTATCAACGATAGACAATCTGCATATGTATGTATGTTAGGCTTATATTGATTCCCCCCCCCCCCCCAGGTTAAACTGGTGACCTTCCCTAGGATGCAGCCCTACAACAAATTTTTAACTTCCAGGTACCTATTTACTGCTTAGTGAATCCCAGGATTCCCGATTGTGATTCGAAAATGAACCCAGCTGTTCTACCGAGACCTTGTGTATGATTTACTTGTACTCTGACCAGTAATTATATGTGTGGCTGCACAGGCAGCCTTGCCCTGGCTATAGGGGAAATGTTAGTGATGTTAACAGGCTCCTGTACCAGTATAGCCACAGTATAGCCAAAGACCTTGCCTAACCTTTAGGTTTGGTAAAGGTGCGGCACATTGGATGATGTGCGTATTATTAGCTAAGCAGGTTAAAGCCCCATTGGGCCTGGTGAGTAACATTATAAATGACTGCACAGATAGCCATGGTTTGGGGACTTCGATAAATCTGTCGATAAGACATCCTCATAGTTTCCTACCTAGTGCCTTAAACTCACACTGTATCATGTGTTACCCACTCCCCCAATATATGCACCTAAGCCATTCAACTTCACCATTGTAATCATTACTATCATCTATGATAACAGTGATCATGGTTGTTATATTGAACACATATTTTACTACATTATACATGCACTCCCTTGAACATTATATTGTAGAATGCCTCATATTACTGTATGAATACTGGAACACTTGATGATATATTTGATTTGTACCCAAGATTGACCATGTAATATATCAACTATACAATGTATGTATGTGATGTAACTATATAACCTGAGCTTGTAAAAGCACCTTAATCACCTTCAGTGGTTAAGTGCTTAATAACACACTAGTTTATCATCTGTCTTACCCTCTCAGAGTAGGAGGGCCATAAATGTATGTATATGTGTGTACAGTATGTATAAATATATATATGTATATATATGACAGTGTCAGACCACGGAGGAAAATTGAAACAGGAATTTCCTTAAGTACTTTCGTATATTAATACATCTTCAGAAGGAGTGATTTTAAAGGTCGAGTACTGGACATAAATAGGCAGGAGAGAATGGTGGAGTGAGGTGAGGTACAATACGTGGACACTGCAGAGGGCCTATTGGCCCATCTGACATCTGATGCAGCAACCACACACAGGCCCACACATGGATAACCATAGCATAAAATAGTAAATATTTACAATGAATTAGTGAGACAAATGTGTTCCAATGATCCTACTTAAATCGCCCTTTAATGGGCGATTTAATTAGGATCATTGAAACACATTGAAACACGTAAAAAACTATTAAAATTCTGGAAAACTTTGCTTATTATGTAAATCGGGCCTTGCATAGTATGCCAAGAACTGCGTTCTGGCTACTAGGTACAACACACACACATACTTTATATATATATAATATATACATATATATATATAATATATGCATGCATGTGTATTAAGTATATGTGGAAGCTGATCAGAATTTCATTTCACCATTGTAAATGCACATTAATGATACTATATAAAGAACACATCGACTTCTTTATGTAGGGCAGACGTAACTCTGTGTATCTATGTAATGTATTTATGTCTGTAAATTAGATTAGCCATTTAAAAGCACTACAATTTTATTTATTTTATTTATATATCTGTATACAAGAGTTGTTACATTCTTGTACAGCCACTAGAACACGTAGCGTTTCGGGCAAGTCCTTAAACCTTAAACTGCTCCAATTGCTTGAGGACGATTTGTAAAGCCCCACCCATTCCAGGGTGACATTTGACACTAGAGACTTGTGGTTGGTAGAGCGACTGCCTCACTTCTTGCAGGTCGGCATTTGATCCCCAGTGGTCCAAGTGGTTGGGCACTGTTCCTTCCCTTCATCCTATCCCAGATCCTTGTCATCGTACCCCTTCCAAGTGCTGTATAGTCATGCTGGCGTAGTGCTTTCCTTCTCATAATTACATTACCTTAGGTTGAGCTGGGCTTGCTACTGCCCACATGATTGGTATGGGGGTGTATAATATATGAACTAAACTAAACTGTTTTAAGTCCTGCATCTCTTTTTCAAGTAAGAAACATTTTCAACTTTGATAACCACTTTGTTTTTAGTTTAATGCTGATTTTTATTTGTATTTTGCAGAGTGAATAGCAAGGGGGCAGTATTGAGCAACTGTGAAGTATATTCACTCCTGCAAGATTTGTGCCAGCAAGGAAACAAAGGAAGACGTAATCTTACCAAAACTCAGACTCACCTTGCCAACATTGCCTATGATGTACGTTGAATCCAGATTTTTTACTATTGTAATACTGTATAATTTTTGGGATAGTAATACATCATGTACACAAAGGGCATGTACAGTATGGTACATGGTATACCAATACTGTACTACTTCTAGTCTCGGATTGGCAAACCCACTCCTAGAGAAACTAATGACATTGAATGGTCTTTATTGATTTTGATGGATGAACAACAACAAATGTATCAATGTCAGTGATATTGGGCAGTTTCTGGGAGGGCTTCTAATGGTGGCTCCTCAGTTCTTGGTTTCTGACAAAGTTCTACCCAATTCAGTCCATGCCAGTCCCTTGCAGGTCATGTGTAAGCCAACTGGGGGACCAAAGGCCAAAACCTTGCCCCTCGAAAGAGATGCAAGGAGCAGGGGATTGTAACTTGCCCTCTCCAAGAAAAGGCCACCATAAAGGTGGGCAAAGCAAAACATACAAATAGCAATGCAAACTTATAGAAAATAGGCTTCATGACCAACCTGGTCATGAAGCAGTAGTTCCACCTGTGCACCATCAGGGACTGTACATCACCTTCCCTGATCTGCCAACCTTTAACCTCATTCATATTACCAGGTGCTTACCTGTACTGTGTCATGTTCACTGTTATGCTTCTCTTCCTGGGTTTTCAGATAAATTCTGGCATCCTGGTCTTTGCTTTTGTTCTGCAGGGGGCCATTTGCTTTTATGTTTGTTCTGTATATTAGAGTTTATTTCACATTGCATATAGTATAGTATATCAACCCATCCTCAGACCAAGTCCATTCTATCCAGCAGTCGACCCCAAAGATGCATTTATCAATTTCAACATTGTTCATTCAAAACTGGAATTATAAGAACCAAACTATATAGTTCTTTTTTTATTTCCAGGTCCAGAGGTTTTCAGTCGAAAAATATGGGCCCTTTTTTCTTTGGAAATAAGAGTTTGAGGCTTGGAAAATATTCTAGGTGGCATTAAATCTCTTTATAGACAGGTTATTTTTGTTGTTGCTTTTCATATGACACGATATGACACGTTGAAATTAAAACTTCTCAATGAAATCAGGCCACAGAGTGTGAGAAATATTAGGGTATGAATGGTAACACTCTTAATATGGCTTCAGTCATATTTTTGAAGATTTTTGTAGATGAATTCAATTCCCCCTTCCCCACAAGCAATAGCCTGCTGGACCAAGCTCTCACAAATGAATCCTGGTCCAAGGCTGGGCTTCTTGAGGAGTAGAACTTTTAGAACCTAATCTAGGTAGATCACAAGAAAGAGTTGTAGCCTTGGGAAAGCTATTAAAGATATTTAAATCATATTCTATGGTTAGTTTTAATTTTGAGTTTGCAAGTTTTTTGCTCACTTGGGTATGGCCCTGCTAGCTTTTGAAAGTGGAGCTGGGGATGTGAGAAATAAGCTAAATGTAGTTATTGTTCTTGGTCCGTCTTGTATTGCTTTGGGCCATGTTTCCCGGCCTGGATACCTTAAGTGCAACTCCACAATCATTTGTGGAGTTGTTTGGCAATTTTGAGGCTCTTTTTCTGAGAATCCTCTAGATGTCTGTAAAGCTTTGCTGACTTTCTGCATGCATTCCTGGTGAGGTGGTGAATTGTCACTCGCTCCCTACTCCTCTGAGGGAAGACAGGTTTCTGGCTCAGGTCCCTGGTAGGCCAAACAGAACTTTTGTAACTGATGTAGCATAGAGCAATCTCAGTAAAATAACTTCAGGGAGTCACCAGTACTCTACCAGAAAGAGGCATTTTATTGCATTCAATGCTGGGTGTTTGCTCAGACCATTTTTTTCATTACACTGTAGTCTGTTTCAGTGGTCCTCTCCTTTTTGTCCTGGTTACAGTATTTGTTGATTGGCTTATGCCAAATATTGTTACCACATCCACCAAATATTGTCACCACATCCTTGGCAGAACCACTTTTGATGGCTTTCAGTGCTAATACTTCCTCTGTGCATTTTCGTGAGTTGTCTCGTGTTTTCTTCTCCACCTCTTGAGCCGTCTTGGTCACTGGCTAGGGTGTTGGTTTTTCTTTTATCTCCTTGGTCTGTGATTGATTTTTTCAAGGCTTTGTTTTTGTTCTTTCAGCTCTGGCAAGCATTTTTTTTTTATCTGCAGCCTTCGTCTTTTCTGGGGAAGAATGAGATAGTTGACTTCCAGTGGGGTTCCTTTAGTTTTTGTTTCTTGGTTTGTTCAGCTGGGGGGTGCATCATTCTTGAGTCGAGTTGTTTGTTGATCTGATGTTTTTGGTCCCATTCCAAGGCTCATTTGTCTGTTCATGAGTCAAAATCTGGCCAGCCTGTGGTCTACCCCTTGGGTACATGATGTTCAGAAATTTTGAGCTTTGACCACTGTATTTTCTGTCGTGACACAAGGTTTTTGGAGGTCTCCCTGGGTCCTGGCAGCCAGTATCTGGTCAGTTTCCCCTGGTCCTAGTTGAGCTTGTGTTGCCCTGGGTAGGGTTTCCCATCCTGGTTTCTACTTTGGGGGTTTGATCTTTGTTCTCCTCGGTTGAGTCCCAATTTTCCTTTTCTACAGTTAGGTGCATTAGTTGGTTTTCTTAGGCTCTGAACTGATGATTGTTGACACAGGGAGCTGGCAGCTTCTGTAGTGGTCCATCTGGTTGTACTCAGCTGTACTCGCCTAGTTGTGCTTGCGGGCGTTGAGCTTTGTCTCTTTGGTCCCGCCTCTCAACCGTCAATCAACTGGTGTACAGATTCCTGAGCCTACTGGGCTCTATCATACCTATATTTGAAACTGTGTATGGAGTCAGCATCCACCACATCACTTCCTGGTGCATTCCATTTATTAACTACTCTGACACTGAAAAAATTCTTTCTAATGTCTCTATGGCTCATTTGGGTACTAAGTTTTCACCTGTGTCCCCTTGTTCGTGTTCCACCCGTGCTGAAGAGTTTGTCTTTGTGCACCCTGTCAATTCCCCTGAGAATTTTGTAGGTGGTTATCATGTCTCCCTTTACTCTTCTGTTTTCCAGGGACGTGAGGTTCAGCTCCTTTAGCCTTTCCTCGTAGCTCATTCCTCTCAGTTCCAGGATGAGCCTGGTGGCATACCGCTGAAGCTTCTCTAACTTTGTCCTGTGTTTAACTAGGTATGGACTACAGGCTGGAGCTGCATATTCCAGGATTGGTCTGACATACAGGGTCCTGAATGCTTCCTTTCACAAGTTTCTAAAGGCAGTTCTTATGTTGGCCAACCTAGCATATGCCACTGATGATATCCTTTTGATGTGGGCCTCTGGGGACAGGTTCAGTATATCAACCCCCAGATCTTTCTCTCTATTTGACTGTGTATCTGGTGTACTGTATATCTGGTGTTAATCTGGTGTATCCCAGATTAAGCCCTCCCCGTCCCCCCATCTGCCAGCTGTACCTGGTTTAGGGAAAGTGGGGCAGGGATCATTTGCAGAGTTGTTTGTTTACTTTCTGTGAGCCTTGCAGTTGTCTGTTTTACTTCCCTTCCATTCTAGGGGGTTTGTTTCTTCAGTGAAGATGATCCTGAATTCTCTGCTCACTGCTTCTTTGTAAGAGGGCCAGGTTTGAGCCTTTGGTCTCTGGTAAGCTATTAAGGACTTCTAGTACTGGTGTGATAAATATGTACTCATCTAGTGCTTGCGTGGGTTGAGCTTCGGCTCTTTGGTCCCACCTCTCAACTGTCAATGTCCCACTGTCAATGAACTATGTCAAAATGCAACGTTTTATTAGGAGGACAGGCTGCTCACTGTCAGACTCGCTGTTAACACCGAGTCATTACTGCTTCTCTATGTGGCAATATCAGAGTATACACGATTCTAACTGAAACGTCCTAATAAGCAGTTTCCTCTACTCTCTCATCTGAAGCTACACGTGACTTTACTCTAGCGATCTTAACACTTTCGCGATCGGGGGGCGAGCGAGCGCCAGACCACCCCAAGGGGCTCCGGGCATTCCACGGGAGTGCCTGGTAATACTGAAAAGTGTATACTCTTTTAAACTTTGTCATCTCCATTCTCGTCCTAGGTTTTTCAATTTGGTATCAATGTGTTCACAATAGAATTCTCTACAGGACTAAATGCATATAAAGCCCAAAAGCCCGGCATACACACACACCAAACAGAGAAAGTGAGAGTGCATTACCCGGGATGGCGGAACAGCAATAAAATGAGCGTACCCTTTTCACTTTGGTCACCTCAATTCTCGTCCTAGGTCTTTCATTTTGGTATCAATGTGTTCACAATAAAATTCCCTAGAGGAGTATATGCATATAATATTAAAAGATGAAAGACAAGGCTGTGCGTTACCTGCGAGCAAGCGCCCATTCGCCCTCACAAATGTTTAGTATTTTTTCTGGTTGATAACATCAATTTTCATGTTAAAGTGCTCATTTTGGTATCAAAATATTCCTAATAGAATGCTTTAAAGGGATATATGCATATAAGGGCAAATTGATGAACAACATTATCAATACAATAAGATAAATTATAAACCATAATATAAAATGTATAAAAATCAAAACATTTTTGTACTTACATTCCAAAAAATGCTTGTGGATCATGACATGGGTTGAGCATTAGTTTTATCCACTCCACATGCTCCAGGAAAACATTTCCTGAAGATTTTCAACCTATGTTTTGATGAGGTGAAGTGATACAAATAGTGGCCGCCTCACACCGGTCATGTGGTGGAGGCTGACTCCATACACAGTTTCAAATGTAGATATGATAGAGCCCAGTAGGCTCAGGAATCTGTACACCAGTTGATTGACAGTTGAGAGGCGGGACCAAAGAGCCAGAACTCAACCCCTGCAAACACAACTAGGCGAGTACACCTGATGGTCCAGGTGTTGCAACATGTCGCCAGTAGATGTGCTGTCATTGTCATGTACATCAGTAGCATGTGTGATGTTATCATTTTGCAGAGGTGAATTATTAGGCTGAAAGCGCAGTAGTGACAAAAGGACTACTTCGTGGAATGTAGTAATGTGAGTTTCTTTGTATCTGTTGTGTAGTAATTGTACAACGCAAAATCATTATGAATAGCCATTTGCAGAAAGTTGAATGTCATTTTCTTCGTCCACTTGTGACTTTTCCATGTGAAATTATAATATTTGACCATTTGGTCGAAATGATCAACACACTTTGGCATTACGTTTAAAACCAGTCCCCCCAAAATTGGATAAAGACCTGAATTTTAGCAAATAAATTACTTTTTAATGCGTGGATACGTCATTCCCGCACATTCATCTACAATTTTTTTTATGCAATACTGCATCATGCCCATGTGAAAGTGTTAACACTGCTTAGTCCATCAGGTGACACACGTGGTCTCTGACGTCTCCAAATTCGTCATAGTGTCGATAGTTTCTTCTTGCTGATGGAGCTTTCACCCTTAGACCAGCCGCAATTATCCAGTGATCCAGTAGCTGGTGCTGGTGGCTTGGTTATAATAATACAGTACTTGGGAACAACAGGACAAAGAGCTGGATCTCGGATCTCACGAGATCGACCACTTCACCCTGTAGTGTTCCTTCCCAAATAGTGTCACACACCTCCTCGGGTGGCCACATGGGTGATGTGATGTCATTCCATCTCGGTCAATGAAAACCATAGACCTCACCCACCAAACCTAGGCCATGTTGCCATTGGTTGCGGCACGATATCTCGTCGATGAAGTCGAGCCTAGCATTCTCACTTCTCAGATAATGCCTCGTTGATCCAGGTGGGGGTTGGGGGATTTTGGTGACCACAGAGCCAACTACTTTGAGAGGGGACTGCTGTTTCCCCCCCCCCCCCACTACTAATCTACAGCCAAAATTATCCCACTGATTGGGTAGTAGTAGTACTAGTAGCCCCTAGTACCAGAGCCTTGCATTCTGGATTGTAGCTGACCCCGGTGACCCAGGTCATAACCACTGACTTCGTTGTACTCTTCTCGATGTACCGAGTCCCGTGATATCCAATTTCATAAACTTTGGATGCCAAATAACAGAGTTGCATCTTGCAAGCACCACCACCTTAACATCAAGCAATGAATTAGGGCTCTGGGAGAGCACTCTCTCACACTGGGCAGGCATCTGTAGGTATTTTACAGATGTGTGTGCATTTCTGTAGGTTACAGTTGCCAGTTATTCTGGGTGCTGCTATAAGGATCTGTGCTATTCGATTGGTGTGCTGTTATATGATAATTTTTTTTATTTTAAGAACTCATTGTTCATGTAATGTATTGTATTACATTCTTAATAGCTTTGTTTTTATATTTTTAATGCATGTACAGTATTTGCATGAAGTGTTTGAATAGAGTAATTATTATTCATGGACAGTGAATATTTTTAATGTGTTAAGAAACATTGTACTGGATTTCAGAAGGGCTGAACTCAAAAAAAGTCATTTTGTTATTTTTCAGACACTTAAATACTTGGAGAAAACTCCTTGTAGGAACCAAAATCCAGAGATAATTCAAAGTTTTCTTCAGTCTGTGAAGAATTTCAAGCTTACTAAAGCCGAGAAGCTGCAGTTGATTAACCTGCGGCCAACAACACCTGTGGAAATGCAGTTGGTAATGTTTGCAAAAGTTTTCTCCATTTGTGAAATTATTAATGCCTAGAGTTGTAATGTCAATGAGAGTAGACAGTTGGTGCAGCATCTGTATTAAAGGTACATAATTGTGCTAAGAAACTGCTTTAATATAAAGGTAGGAGGAGTATGCCATACCCTCCCCATGGCTGTTAAGTGTAAAATCAGTTAACTTGCGACAGCCTGGATACACCTACAGTGTTTGGCCTAGTTCTGTAGCTTGGAGCCCATCAGAAAATGACATTTTATTGCATTTAATGCTTGATATTGTTAAAGTTTTGGAATATAGATGTAACTTGAAGGGCTTCGTGAAAAGTCAGTTACTGCCACTGTAGTCTAAATGTTTGACATTGCTGCTTGAAAGAATATGGTTGGTACCTGAAAGATATTTGTATCTTTCAGATAATTGAAGAAAGTGAAGACAGGCTTACAGAGGAACAAGTGGAGGAACTTATTGGACTGGTGGAGCTCCACCTTCCAGAAAACAGTGACCCACAACTGGTTAATGGTGCTCCTGGACAATAACCACTGGTCTAAAACGAACATACATCATTATGCACGTTAAAAAATGTTTTGTATTTTGAAAAATATTATTTGATTACATCAGTAGTTTAATTTGCCTGTTATATTTTTATTACCAATACTTTCTTTATATTAAAATGAGGAATAAATGTGATTAACTTTTACACACCCATACAGTATTAATATATAATATATATAGACACGTGTTTATATACACAAGTGTACATATGTGTACATACGTGTACTCAACTGGGTACTGGGTTCGATCCCAGGTGCCGGCGAGAAACAATGGGCAGAGTTTTTTTCATCCTATGCCTCTGTTACCTAGCAGTAAAATAGGTACCTGGGTGTTAGTCAGCTGTCACGGGCTGCTTCCTGGGGGTGGAGGCCTGGTCGAGGACCGGGTTGCGGGGACACTAAAAAGCCCCCGAAATCGTCTCAAGATAACCTCAAGATCATCTTGCATGGTATGCAAATACACTGGCCTGTAGTTCAGTGCCTCCTGCCTATCCCTCCTTGTATATTGGGACTACATTGGCCGTCTTCCAAATTTTTGGCAGTTCACCTGTTACCAGTGATTTGTTGTACACCATGGAGAGTAGTAGGCACAGAGCTTCTGCTCCTTCCTTTAGAATCCATGGTGAGATTCCATCTGGGCCTATAGCCTTTGTCACATCCAAATCTAGCAGATGCTCCCTCACCTCCCCACTGGTAATCACAAACTCCTCTAGTGGTGTCTGGTTTGATGGGACCTCTCTTATCTTTGGGATGTCTTCTTGCTCTGAGGTGAAGACCTGGAATTTCTTATTGAGTACCTCACACACTTCCTTGTCGTTTGTAGTGAATTTTTCTGCCCCTATCCTCAGTTTCATTACCTGTTCCTTCACTGGTGTTTTCCTCATGATGTGGCTATGCAGCAGTTTGGGTTGAGTCTTTGCTCTGCTCGCTATGTCATTTTCACATTCTCTCTCTACCTCTCTGCTCACCCTGACGTATTCATTCCTGGTGCTCTGGTATCTTTCTCTGCTCTCTAGTGTTCTGTTGTTTCTATAGTTTCTCCATGCCCATTTACTCAGTTGCTTTGCTAGCTTACATCTCTGATTAAACCATGGGTTTCTCATCTACATTTCCTTTTGAACTGGGACAAACTTGTCTGCTGCCTCCTTATATGCCTGCTTGCCTTCCTTCCTTCCCTGTGTGATGTAGTCCATCATGTCTTGAGCTGTCTCCCAAGCTATATCAGTTAGGAATTTTCTTATCTCCTTATAGTTTCCCTTCCAGAATACCGGCCTCTTGCTTTCTGGTCCCTTCCTTGAGTACATTAACCCTTCTTCGACCAGATACTCAAACAGCACACTGTGATCACTCATACCCATGGGGTCTTCGAAATCGATTTCCCTTATGTCTGAATCGTTCAGAGTGAATACTAGGTCGAGTCTTGCTGGTTCATCGTTGCATTTCATTCTCATGGGACCCTTGACATGCTGACTTAAAAAGTTTCTAGTCGCCGCCACCAACAGTTTCGCTCCATGTTTCCTTGTTTTCCCAGTCTATCCTTCTGTGATTATGATGCTCATCATCACCCCATGATGAGCAGATGCGATCGATTTCTACAGGCAGCAGCAGCTGCTCTCTCAATTATAGTGTTAACTGCCATGTTGTTTGTCATACTCTTGCCTGGGTCTTCTTTCCTTTGGTGGTGGGTTATATATCACTGATACTACTACTCTTGGTCCTCCCATCGTCATGTTGCCGGTTATGAAGTTTCTGAACCCTTCGCAGCCCGGAATAACCATCTCCTTGAAACTCCATTCCTTTCTCATCAGTAGAGCCACTCCACCACCTCCCCTTCCTTCCCTCTCTTTCCTTACTGCAGTGTAGTCTTGGGGAAACACCGCATTCATTATGATTCCCCGAGTTGTTTCTGTGAGTCCAATTACATCTGGGTTTACTTATTGTGCTCTTTCCCTAAGTCCACTTGCCTTGTTTGTAATCCCATCTATGTTTGAGTACAATACCTTGAAGCTGACTTTCTTCTGTACATTCTCTGCTTGTTGATTCCACTGGAGTTGGGAGGCAAGGGGTGTCGGATGGGAGGACCTGGGGGATCTGGGGTGTGAGGGGGGCTAGGAGGGTCTTAGGTGGTATGGCTGAGAGGGTCTGGGGTTGGGGGTTAGGACATGGGATAGGGGAGCAGGAGGGGCATGTGGTGGGAGGTCACAGGTTGGGGGTATGCAGGGGAGACGGGTGGGTTGGCAGGGAGGCCAGGGGTTGGGGAGGAAAGAGGAGCCAGGGGAGCAGTGGGGCCAGGAGGGAGGGGGTGGGGTGGGGGAACTGGAAAGGGCATGGGCTGGAGGAACGGGGATGGGCATGGGAACAAGGACCTGGGGAAAGGGGTTGGGGAAGAAGGGCATGGGGGCATGGTCTGAAGAGGGCCTTTACTGCCTGAGGAGGTGCAGGTGATTGGTGAGAAATGGCTGTGGGATTGGATGGTGGGAGGCTTTTGTTACAATCCTCCCTGAGAGTACTGGTTTGCTGGTGGGGGGATTCCCACTCTCCTCTGAGGTTCCTGGCGACACTGAGCCGAGTTCTGTGGCTCCTATATCCCAAACCCTTTCTTTACGTCTCCTTGCTTCTGCAGCCTTTCTTCCCTCGTCATGTCCTTTTGCAGTAAGACGTACTCGTACCCCCCTGACCTCACATGTCTGCTCTTCCTGGATAGGCTTTTCTCTTTTGTTGCCTCATTCATGAGCGTTACAGTACTACCTTTATCAGTAGTTTCCTTCTTGTAGACGTCCAGCCTGAAAACCGAATATGTGTGTTTGTGTGTATGTGCACGCACACAAACATTGTGTATATATACACATTGTGTGTGTATATATACATTGTGTGTATACACACAGTGTGTGAATACTCACTGTGTGTATATACGCACATGATGTATGTATTTACACACACTATTCACACAATGCGTGTGTATATATATACATGCAATGTGTATATATATATACACACAATTGTGTGTATATATACACACACACACTGTGTATACACACATTGTAATTACCTAAGTGTAATTACCTAAGTGTAGTTACAGGATGAGAGCTACGCTCGTGGTGTCCCGTCTTCCCAGCACTCTTTGTCATATAACGCTTTGAAACTACTGACGGTCTTGGCCTCCACCACCTTCTCACTTAACTTGTTCCAACCGTCTACCACTCTATTTGCGAAGGTGAATTTTCTTATATTTCTTCGGCATCTGTGTTTAGCTAGTTTAAATCTATGACCTCTTGTTCTTGAAATTCCAGGTCTCAGGAAGTCTTCCCTGTCGATTTTATCAATTCCTGTAACTATTTTGTATGTAGTGATCATATCACCTCTTTTTCTTCTGTCTTCTAGTTTTGGCATATTTAATGCTTCTAACCTCTCCTCGTAGCTCTTGCCCTTCAGTTCTGGGAGCCACTTAGTAGCATGTCTTTGCACCTTTTCCAGTTTGTTGATGTGCTTCTTAAGATATGGGCACCACACAACAGCTGCATATTCTAGCTTTGGCCTAACAAAAGTCATGAACAATTTCTTTAGTATATCGCCATCCATGTAATTAAATGCAATTCTGAAGTTAGAAAGCATAGCATAGGCTCCTTGCACAATATTCTTTATGTGGTCCTCAGGTGATAGTTTTCTATCTAGAACCACTCCTAGATCTCTTTCTTTATCAGAATTCTTTAAAGATTTCTCACATAATATATAGGTTGTGTGGGGTCTATGTTCTCCTATTCCACATTCCATAACATGACATTTATTAACATTAAATTCCATTTGCCAAGTGGTGCTCCATATACTTATTTTGTCCAGGTCTTCTTGAAGGGCATGACAGTCATCTAAATTTCTTATCCTTCCTATTATCTTAGCATCATCAGCAAACATGTTCATATAATTCTGTATACCAACTGGTAGATCATTTATGTACACAATAAACATCACTGGTGCAAGAACTGAACCCTGTGGTACTCCACTTGTGACATTTCTCCATTCTGATACATTGCCTCTGATTACTGCCCTCATTTTACTATCAGTCAGAAAATATTTCATCCATGATAGAAGCTTACCTGTCACCCCTCCAATATTTTCCAGTTTCCAGAACAACCTCTTATGTGGAACTCTGTCGAAAGCCTTTTTTAGGTCCAGATAGATGCAGTCAACCCAACCATCTCTTTCCTGTAATATCTCTGTGGCTCGATCATAGAAACTGAGTAAATTCGATACACAGGATCTTCCAGATCGAAAACCATACTGTCTGTCTGATATTATATCATTTCTCTCTAGGTGTTCTACCCATTTAGTTTTGATTAGTTTTTCCAATACTTTCACTATTACACTTGTCAATGATACAGGTCTATAATTGAGGGGGTCTTCCCTGCTGCCACTTTTGTAGATTGGAACTATGTTAGCCTGTTTCCACCCGTCTGCTACGATTCCTGTACACAGGGATGCCTGAAAGATCAGGTGAAGTGGAATGCTGAGCTCAGATGCACATTCTCTCAGAACCCATGGTGAAACGCCATCTGGGCCAGCTGCTTTGTTCTTACCGAGCTCCTTGAGCATTTTTTCCACTTCGTCTCTAGACACCTCTATGTGTTCTATGTTGTTCTCTGGAATTCTTATTGTATCTGGTTCCCTAAAGATTTCATTTTGTACAAACACACTTTGGAACTTTTCGTTTAGTGTTTCACACATTTCCTTTTCATCTTCCGTGAATCTATTTCCCATTTTCAACCTCTGAATATTATCCTTTACCTGCAATTTGTTGTTTATGAATTTATAGAATAGACCTGGTTCTGTTTTACATTTGTCCGCAATCCCTTTTTCAAAATTTCTTTCTGCCTCTCTCCTCACTGCCGTGTAGTTGTTTCTCGCATCTTTGTATCGCTGGTATGTTTGGGGGTTCGACCTCTTCCTGTATTGATTCCATTTTTGTGTCTTTCGGTCTCTAGCCCTCTCGCAATTTCTATTGAACCAATCCTGTTTCCTAGTTCTGCATCTCTGTTTTGGTATAAATTTTTTTGTGCCTTTATCATATATTTCACAAAACTTGCCATACATCTCATTCACTTTCTTGCCTAGCATCAAGTCTGTCCAATTATACTCACTAAAAAAATTTCTAAGGTCACCATAATGTCCTCTCCTGAAGTCTGGTTTTTCAACTGCTTCAACCTCCTTATTTTCTTCCAGCTTATAACGCATTGCATACTTTATTCCCAAAAAGACATGGTCACTTTTACCCAAGGGAGGAAGGTACTGAATGTCAAATATCTCTTCCTCCTTCCTGGTAAATATCAAATCTAGCATGGAGGGAACGTCCCCTTCCCTCATCCTCGTAGCTTGTTTAACATGTTGATACAAGAATGTTTCCAGGATGAGGTCTACAAATTTACAGGTCCAAAAATCTTCTGTTTTAGCTTCATATGCTTCCCAGTCTATGGATTTCAAGTTGAAGTCACCGACTATCAACAGTCGTGATCTATCGTTATCCGCTCTCGCTATAATCTCTCTCATTATTGTTATAAGACCTTCACGTTTACTATCTAGCTCCTCCTTTGACCATGTGCTGCTTGGCGGTGGACTATATGCATTTATCATCATTAGTTTATCATCCTCATAGCAGATCTCTAGTGCTATTATGTCAACTTCTTGTGGATTGGCAGTCATTATTTCCTTCACCTTTAGGTGTTCTTTTACCAGCACAGCAACGCCACCGCCTTTCCTAATTTTTCTGTCCCGTCTCCAAATTGAGTAGCCCCTTGGGAATATGACCTCATTTAAAATTACATCTTCAAGTTTTGTCTCCGTGAGTGCAACAATGTCTGGTGTCTGCAGCTGTATTACATCACTTAACTCCAGTATCTTCGATCTCACTCCATCTATGTTGGTGTATGCAATCTTCAGGAACTTGTTCCCCCTCTCCTTATTCTTCACTCCCCCTCTCTCTATTGATTTTGTTGGTTTGCCTTTATGTACCACTTTACTGGTTTGCCTACCCCTATCACTTTGTAGAAAAAAGAATTTATTTCTTCTTCATTCAATTCGATACACAGGATCTTCCAGATCGAAAACCATACTGTCTGTCTGATATTATATCATTTCTCTCTAGGTGTTCTACCCATTTAGTTTTGATTAGTTTTTCCAATACTTTCACTATTACACTTGTCAATGATACAGGTCTATAATTGAGGGGGTCTTCCCTGCTGCCACTTTTGTAGATTGGAACTATGTTAGCCTGTTTCCACCCGTCTGCTACGATTCCTGTACACAGGGATGCCTGAAAGATCAGGTGAAGTGGAATGCTGAGCTCAGATGCACATTCTCTCAGAACCCATGGTGAAACGCCATCTGGGCCAGCTGCTTTGTTCTTACCGAGCTCCTTGAGCATTTTTTCCACTTCGTCTCTAGACACCTCTATGTGTTCTATGTTGTTCTCTGGAATTCTTATTGTATCTGGTTCCCTAAAGATTTCATTTTGTACAAACACACTTTGGAACTTTTCGTTTAGTGTTTCACACATTTCCTTTTCATCTTCCGTGAATCTATTTCCCATTTTCAACCTCTGAATATTATCCTTTACCTGCAATTTGTTGTTTATGAATTTATAGAATAGACCTGGTTCTGTTTTACATTTGTCCGCAATCCCTTTTTCAAAATTTCTTTCTGCCTCTCTCCTCACTGCCGTGTAGTTGTTTCTCGCATCTTTGTATCGCTGGTATGTTTGGGGGTTCGACCTCTTCCTATTGATTCCATTTTTGTGTCTTTCGGTCTCTAGCCCTCTCGCAATTTCTATTGAACCAATCCTGTTTCCTAGTTCTGCATCTCTGTTTTGGTATAAATTTTTTTGTGCCTTTATCATATATTTCACAAAACTTGCCATACATCTCATTCACTTTCTTGCCTAGCATCAAGTCTGTCCAATTATACTCACTAAAAAAATTTCTAAGGTCACCATAATGTCCTCTCCTGAAGTCTGGTTTTTCAACTGCTTCAACCTCCTTATTTTCTTCCAGCTTATAACGCATTGCATACTTTATTCCCAAAAAGACATGGTCACTTTTACCCAAGGGAGGAAGGTACTGAATGTCAAATATCTCTTCCTCCTTCCTGGTAAATATCAAATCTAGCATGGAGGGAACGTCCCCTTCCCTCATCCTCGTAGCTTGTTTAACATGTTGATACAAGAATGTTTCCAGGATGAGGTCTACAAATTTACAGGTCCAAAAATCTTCTGTTTTAGCTTCATATGCTTCCCAGTCTATGGATTTCAAGTTGAAGTCACCGACTATCAACAGTCGTGATCTATCGTTATCCGCTCTCGCTATAATCTCTCTCATTATTGTTATAAGACCTTCACGTTTACTATCTAGCTCCTCCTTTGACCATGTGCTGCTTGGCGGTGGACTATATGCATTTATCATCATTAGTTTATCATCCTCGTAGCAGATCTCTAGTGCTATTATGTCAACTTCTTGTGGATTGGCAGTCATTATTTCCTTCACCTTTAGGTGTTCTTTTACCAGCACAGCAACGCCACCGCCTTTCCTAATTTTTCTGTCCCGTCTCCAAATTGAGTAGCCCCTTGGGAATATGACCTCATTTAAAATTACATCTTCAAGTTTTGTCTCCGTGAGTGCAACAATGTCTGGTGTCTGCAGCTGTATTACATCACTTAACTCCAGTATCTTCGATCTCACTCCATCTATGTTGGTGTATGCAATCTTCAGGAACTTGTTCCCCCTCTCCTTATTCTTCACTCCCCCTCTCTCTATTGATTTTGTTGGTTTGCCTTTATGTACCACTTTACTGGTTTGCCTACCCCTATCACTTTGTAGAAAAAAGAATTTATTTCTTCTTCATTCCTGCTCTCATTTAAATGTTTTGCCTCGGCGAGGTTCAGTTTCAGCTTCTCTCTATCTTCTTTTGAAAGATCTCGTCTTAACGACCACCCTTTCCCATCCTCATCCCTTTGCAATTTTCTAGCATTCCTTAGTACTTCTTCCATCTGTTTGGCACCGTTTAGGGTGATCCTCAAAGGTCGATCTTTCCCTTTTACGTACCTGCCTATTCTCCTGTAGTCGCACACATTTTCTCTGTTTGTAAGACCTTCCACGAGGCCAACAATTTTATCTACTACTTTAGCTTCTTCTACAGCTCTTTCTGACCTAGATGTTATCGCCTTTTCTTTGCAGCCAAAAATGATCAGGGACTTACTCCGATCAACTGTGTTTTGCACCAACTTCGGGTTAGATGCCAATTCTTTCCTCACTTCTAGCCTAATGTTTGTTTTATCTTGGTTGCTGCAGTGTTTGACTTCCTTTACTGCTTCTTCTATTTTTTCCTTCTCCTTGGCCACTTGTGCATAAGTGAGTTGCATATCTTTCTTGCACTGTTCTATTCCCTGTGTAACTTCCTCCATCTGTGCTGACAAAAGCTGTTTCTCCTGTTGAATTTCCTTGCCTAACCTATTGTAGTCATTTATGTTTAAATTTACTTTAACTTCTTCCAAAGCTATTTTTAAGAGTTTATTTTCTTCTTCCATGGCTTTGCAATTTGTTTCCAATTGATTCTTATCCTTGCGCAAGTCTTTCACTAAACCCTCAAGACATAAAACTTTGCTATTCAAATGGTCATTACTTTCTTTCAATTTACTAATTATTTCTACATGAGAGTTCACTATAGTATCTAAATTTACCAACTTGTTATGTAGACTACTAATATCAATGCTTTCTTCATTGAATCCCTCAAAATCAAGCTCTGTTTTGTTTTTCCCCTTGCCAGTGGCCATCTTGAATGTTCTTCTCTGCACTGTAAACACTAGGGCAACTTTTTCTCATCCGATTTTTCACTTCCCTTAGCACTTTCCTGTTATCTCACCTATTTTTCAAGAGCACTATACCTTTATGTTCTCTGGGACACCACTCACTACCATCAACCTGTACTACAATACTTAGGATTGTTGAAATATGCTGGAGCTCCTCTGCTGCAAGTGTTGACCCTAGGAGTGTCACCTTTTGAATTTTGTAATTACCTAAGTGTAATTACCTAAGTGTAGTTACAGGATGAGAGCTACGCTCGTGGTGTCCCGTCTTCCCAGCACTCTTTGTCATATAACGCTTTGAAACTACTGACGGTCTTGGCCTCCACCACCTTCTCACTTAACTTGTTCCAACCGTCTACTACTCTATTTGCGAAGGTGAATTTTCTTATATTTCTTCGGCATCTGTGTTTAGCTAGTTTAAATCTATGACCTCTTGTTCTTGAAGTTCCAGGTCTCAGGAAGTCTTCCCTGTCGATTTTGTCAATTCCTGTTACTATTTTGTATGTAGTGATCATATCACCTCTTTTTCTTCTGTCTTCTAGTTTTGGCATATTTAATGCTTCTAACCTCTCCTCGTAGCTCTTGCCCTTCAGTTCTGGGAGCCACTTAGTAGCATGTCTTTGCACCTTTTCCAGTTTGTTGATGTGCTTCTTAAGATATGGGCACCACACAACAGCTGCATATTCTAGCTTTGGCCTAACAAAAGTCATGAACAATTTCTATAATTCTGTGTATATACACATGTTTGTGTGTATACACCTGTGTATAAACACAATGTGTGTATACACACAGATAGATGCAGTGGGGGGGAGGGGATCTTCCAGATCGAAAACCATAATTATAAACACAACTCAATTGGTGTAAATTTATTATTGACACTTAACATTTTTAACCTATTGGTATTTTTATTTATAAGCTCAATTTTACTCTGGTGGAAAAGGTTATACGTACAAGGATAATGAGTCCCATCTCTTGTCTGAGAAAGGAAGCTCCAAGTTCATTTATTAATAATTTCCTGAAATACACTTCAACTTCAAAATGTTGCCAATAATTTTCTGTTGATATTTATCTCTGTGACAATATAATTGTAAAATGCATTAAGAGTTACCTTTAAGCATGGCTTTGTATTAAATCAAATACTGTACTGCACTCTATGCTGATATCAAACAAAATATAAGTTTAAATGATTAAGACCTTCAAGCTCTATAAAATATCAAATCGAGATATGTACAAACATATGAAAGATTAATATAGCCAGCACACAACTTAATAAATCATTAAATTTAAAGACTCTGTGATCATTAGATCTAACTATACATACACAAAATTTGCAGAATGATATGACACCAGTCTCAATATGGCAATTAATATTTTTGGGGGGGTTCAGAGTAATTTGATTAAATAATAGCCAAGTAATCCGCAGTTGTTAACATTACATATCATTCTTTTAGGACATACACCTTAAAAGAAAAGTCCTCGCATCCGGCGACCCATCGCTAATCTCTCGTGTAAAAGGTTGAATCGGTTGATAAATCTGTTCATAGTATTGCAGCACTTAGTTATTGTTCCAAGGTAAGACATCAGTGCTACATCATTACATTGCTGTAAGGAAAAGATAAGAATTATTATTTGGTCTTCACTAGAGTTGAAATAAAAGCAACATAAAATTTAACCCTAGATTATCAAGTATATTATTTACATAATACTGTACAGTGAAGCATGTTGCTCCTTCATGGTAAGGAACCAACACACACAAATCACTTGCCCTTCTGCTTTCATGTAGTATCCCAATGTACATAAGATATTAGTGGGGTAGTTCTAGACCATAACACTTGTGACAATCTTGCATAGTTCACCACCACTAGTTTCTGCCACTACCTTCCCTATACTGTACAGTACAGCTAAACATTTTCATGCCTTATTTTTCCTCTCTTTACTCTGCTAAATGAGCTGATAAAAATTTACAACTGACTGGTAATCTATTGTAATAAATTTGAACTTGGGAAAATCACTCACATTATAAAATTCTCCTCGAAACTTATCGCTATTTAAGACTGGAAGTCGGTGGGCCAAAGCATTGACCTGCCGAAGGATCTCGTGATTGAACTCCACCTCACCACGTTGGCTGGCACGAACGTATTCTGCAATCAAGCGCACTCGACTAGCCAGCATCTTTATTGCACTATACTGTGCTTGAAGATTTTCTGCAACTGTAACGAAATAAGTGTTGAAACGGGGAGGTAATGGTTAGGAATAGAGAGATTCACTGTTATATTGTACCTCCTTCAAGTGCCACGGATTAATAGTTAAATGTGTTTTAAATCGTAGCTTTCTTGTAGTACTGTACTTACATATTAATCACCTATAGAAAGAATTTCTAAAAAGCTTACATGTAGCCTGTTTTTAAATGTCAGAAATAAATAAACCTTGTTTCTGGCAAAACTTTTTGGATCAGTACAACCTCAGTAAACAAATATGTAGGACAGTTCTGTAATTAGTGTACTATACTGTGTGGCTACTAAGGTGGTTCAAAAGTTTACAACTCTTTCTGATCAAATCTTATTATTGATGGTTAAGCTGTTGGTGCTTATAGCTCAGTCCAAATGTGTCACACTGTATACGTGTATAGTATTTGATCTCACATAACGAGTGAAATTGAGAATGACTTCCTATTGTTGATAAGGCAAGTATAAGGTTTTGATGTTAATATCTGAGTGGAGTGGAAGGGAGGTCTTGGAGGATGATCATGGGGCAGTGTAAGACAGCGTTCATATGCATGGATCTAGTGTCCAACTCGTGAATGTCCATATGGGGGGGACAATGTAAGTAGGAACAAAGGGGCCATTATGGTTTGAGGTTGCACTGTACTTTCCTCTATTTGTCAATATAATTTTATTTTTTATTTATCTTCTACCACAAGAAACTACTTTCATCACTGTACTGTGCAACTTATGATATCAAGAGTAAAGGGTGTGTGCTGCCATACAGTATATATCTTAAGATTCAAAACTCCTGCGGGTACATAGTGCTGTTATCCTTTTCCTCAGGACTACCACAGCATCTAAGACTGACACATGCAGCCGAAGTTCAAAGCACCACGTAATAATGATGAATAAAAAACCTGTGATGATAGTGTTGGATAATTCTGACTGTGATGAACACCGTGTGCAACATTCAGATATTAGTGAATACAATACTAGTCATTATGTTCACAATGTGAAGTAGAGACAACACCCAGCCCGTTTCCTGTGTTATGAAATACCTCATGCTCCTTTACAATATAACCTGGTGGAAATGCACTCACATGCAGGATTTAGTGACAAATGTGATAATTATAGCAGTTCACTGGCTAGTCAGCAATATGTGTAGTATACTGGAATAATTTTCTTATATCTGATGATTCCCGATGTCTGCTCATATTGTGTGGCACCTTGATGTGTTTTTATTTCATCACCACACCCAACAGAATTGTTTATTGGTGCTTAAAAATGTTGACATATATATATATGGTGTGTGTGTAGACAGTGTAATGACAACACAAACACTTTTATTGTTCAAAGAACATACAGTAATACAAGCTTGGCCTCGGGCTGGGCTTGGGAAGTAGAACTCTCAGAACCCCATCAACCAGGTATACATTGTCACTATTTACTGTACAAGATCATATTTTTGAGCATAGTAATATTTCACACATTTAACTATATAAATTCCTCAAACTACATACTATTGATTAATATTACTAAAAAATTTTTTATAAAAAACCATTCAGACATTGAAATATTTATGTAAAAATGTATTTGCTACAAACCGGCCACACGCCAGGGCTGAAGAATACCCAAGCTAGCGACCGCACTCTCAGTGCCTCAATACTGTATTGCCTGACTTCCTCGCTCCATCACGGGGCAAAGTGTATCACATACAACTTTGTTTTTTTATTTTCTTATGACCAGGGAATGCATTTTAACTATTAGAAAGTAAAAAAAAATTGGGAATGATTTATTTTCTACTCGCTGGCAACATGTCATATCAAACTATAGCACAGCAAGTTGATAAATGGACCCAATGGTATGTTGTGTATTCTTTGGATTTTATTTCAAACTTTGGTTATTTAATGCCATCCCCAAGTCTCCAGGATATGTAAAGTAGCATGTAAGAGTAATATGTGTGTGTGTACACATGTGTATGTGTGTATACACATGGCAATAAAGCCAGAAAGTTTCAGTGTAGCAAAATATTGTAAGTATAAATACACACAGGAAACTGAAATTTCTAAAAAGATTCTACACCACTAAAGTTCAAGAAGTTATGCAATTAAATGAAGGCCAACTACATTAACCTATAATAAACGAAATCTTCACAACATTTACCAAGGGAACTCTCCTGGGTGTCGTGTGATGACATCCGGGCAACATGGTCCACACCAATGCGTTCAGCTTCCTCAGTAGCTAATGTATATTGCAGTTCTACCAACAACATAGTAGGAGCTCCATTCACTAAGTCCAGGACACTTTCATATATGCTTACTGGAAGCTATTGTGAAGAAAAATAGAATAATTTGTAAATAATGGCTTTCTATTCTATCAATTTTCAAGAAACCCAAAGTTACATTATAGTAAGTACATGGCTGACTAAAGCTATGCTGATGCACTGTATGTCCAAAAATAATAAATTTACTTAACATTTCCATATACTGTAGTTTAGTTCTCACTTTCTTTGACAAGACTTACAAAATAGATTCTTAAAAAATTGGAAGTTTCTGAATGTCACCCATAACAATATGATTCGGGTCACTTAAGAGTACATTTATAAAAATAAAAATAATTAAAAAAAATTACTAAAAGACTGAATGATAGCAGTAAAACTTGTTTAATTTAAAAAACAAAAAATATTTAACAAATGTAATTTGATATTCAAATTCAATGTAATTGAAATTACTAGTTTGTAAGCAATGGTAAGGTAATTTTCATGAAAGCACTAAGTCATTACAACTACTGTATGGATGAAGATAAGGATTTGAGTGACAGAGGAATGGAATAGTGCCTAATCACTTTGCCAATCCGGGACCGAGGTAATTACACACACACAGATCAGGAAGATCTTGTGTATCGAATTTACTCATTTTCTACGATCGAGCCACAGAGATTTTACAGGAAAGAGATGGTTGGGGTGACTGCATCTATCTGGACCCAAAAAGAGGCTTTCGACAGAGTTCCACATTAGAGGTTGTTCTGGAAACTGGAAAATATTGGAGGGGTGACAGGTAAGCTTCTAACATGGATTAAAAATTTTCTGACTGATAGAAAAATGAGGGCAGTAATCAGAGGCAATGTATCGGACTGAAGAAATGTCACAAGTGGAGTACCACAGGGTTCAGTTCTTGCACCAGTGATGTTCATTGTCTACATAAATGATCTTCCAGATGGAATACAGAATTATATAAACATGTTTGCTGATGATGCTAAGATAATAGGAAGGATAAGAAACTTAGATGATTGTCATGCCCTTCAAGAAGACTTGGACAAAATAAGTATATGGTGCACCACTTGGCAAATGGAATTTAATGTGAATAAATGCCATGTGGAATGTGAAATAGGAGAACAAAGACCTCACACAACCTATAAATTATGTGAGAAATCTTTAAAGAATTCTGATAGAGATCTAGGGGTGGTTCTAGATAGAAAACTGTCACCTGAGAACCACATAAAGAACGTTGTGCAAGGAGCCTATGCTACGCTTTCTAACTTCAGAATTGCTTTTAGATACATGGATGGTGAAATACTAAAGAAATTGTTCATGACTTTTGTTAGGCCAAAGCTAGAATATGCAGCGGTTGTGTGGTGCCCATATCTGAAGGGCAAGAGCTACGAGGAGAGGTTAGAGGCATTAAATATGCCAAAACTAGAAGACAGAAGAAAAAGAGGCGATATGATCACTACGTACAAAATAGTAACAGGAATCGATAAAATTAATAGGGAAGAATTCCCGAGACCCGGAACTTCAAAAACAAGAGGTCATAGATTTAAACTAACTAAACAAAGATGCAGAAGAAATATCAGAAAATTCACTTTCGCAAACAGAGAACACCAAGCTGGCAGATGGTTGGAGCAAGTTAGGTGAGAAGGTGGTGGAGGCCAAGACCATCAGTAGTTTCAAAGCATTATATGACAAAGAGTGCTGGGAAGATGGGACATCACGAGCGTAGCTCTCATCCTGTAACTACACTTAGGTAATTACACACACACAGTATACTGCACCCTTCCTATAACAGATTTCTCCAAATCAAATTTAACCAAAATGGTATCTCCTTTCCTTCCATCTTCCAAAACTTCCAAGCTGCACCCGTGTGGAATCTTGATATACCCTAAATGTGCCAGATCCTAATCAGAGGTCAGTAGGATTTTTAGCTAAGGTAGCAGTAAGGTAAGGAAAGAGTGTAATGCTCACAAAAGCGCTTTCCATATGCAATGAAAGCTTTATTTTAACCTTGAAAAATCGGTGAAATGTATTTATGTGAATATTATTTCCACGTACGGTATCAAAATTTAACTTATTTTAAAAATATGTTAGGTTATGAGATTACAAGTTATACACTATATTATTACAGGTTATACACTATTGTACTCACATCAGTGTGACGTGCCATAGGGTTCAGCTTAAGGAATACAGGGCTATCCAATAGATCACAGATTTGCTTGTGAACCAAGAGGTCAGGAGGCCCAGGAGTGTCACCAGTAGTATACCATCCAAGCAAATCCATATCACTAAATACTTGTTTGTCTATGAGCAAAGAAAACAAGAAATGACAGCTTGTAATAGAAAAGTTCATGTTAAATATTTTTTCAACACAACATTAATGTATATTGCATTATATAGTTCAATTTTGGTTGCTATACTAAAGAATGGACATGAATTCACTTAAATGAGTTCAGAAAAGGATGACAAAGTTAATCCCAGAGATGAAAAAAACCAGCATTGAATGTAATGAAACGCCATTTTTCTGGGTGAGCCCCGGAGGCTCCCTGCAGCTATTGTACACTTCCAACTGTACAACCAAATAATGTGTGATATATTAGACCGGGGCATTAGTCTAAGGAGTTCAACCTACCAGGGACCATGTGACAGAACCTGGCCCCCCTTAGAGGGGGTTGCAGGGAGCAATAACCCCCCGTGGTTGGGGGTTTTCCTTATCTGCTGTCGACTGGGGTTAGGCACCCAGAAAGGTAGGCATAACAAAAACAACCAAATGGCACAAAAATTACAATTAAAAACCGAAAAGAGAGGTAGAACTCCCTCCAATCACCAACTTTTCCATATTCTTGTAAAACTCAAAATGAAAATGAACCATAGATTTTTGTTTTAAATATACTCAATGGCTTTCCCAAGATTCCAACTATTTCTCCTAGTGCTGCATTTATCTACAATTCTTAAAAGGATATACAGTACTGTATATATTCATTTTTGTTTACCATAACTTGCCACTAAAGTGATCTGATGGGCCCATACACACAGCATAGTGTTAACATACTAATCAGCTGATGCGACACTGCCCGACTCGTCGTCATCCAACCCAACATAAGGCCTACAATATGACATGCTTCTTGCTACTTTAAGTACAATGTTGCTATTATCATCAGCATTGTGGTCAGTAAATTCAGAATATGAGCCATTTTGCATAGTTTATTTTCTAAATGAGAACGAGGTCATATTCATGATGTACCAAACAATGGCAGTGGTTGATTGCATCATCCAATGATTATCATCAACAGAATTGTGTTCAAGAAAATTTGTAGGAGCTGTGATAAGGGTTTGAACCTATGTGGTGGGTGTTCCCCTGCACACGCCCTAGTCAACTAGGCCACAACATGGTGTGGCTTCAGTGGAAGCCTCAGGAAACCCTTGTGAGCTCAGTAGAACTCCAGGTTGCAATCGTTTTGATCATGTCATGGCCTAGTTGACTAGTGCATGTGTATGGGAACACCCACTGAATAGGTTCGAACCCTCACCACGGTTCCTATGGATTTTCTCATTGACTAATCAAATTAGTGTGATTACTCTGTGTATTGTGTTCACTGATATATGAACACTGTACATAGTCTTTGTTACAGTCAAGATGTTCTATAATACCATCATCACAAAATAATAGCAGTTACTGGTACTTATATATATCAATAATTTTTAAGTGATGCTGTGGATACAAGCTGAACACCAATGCTGTTAGCTCAGGTTGCATGTGGCACCCTTGGTTGTTCACTCAGTTCTGACACCTTCACATCCAGGAACAGTTTCCAGGATTTTTTCTTCAAAATGACATTTGTTTATGGGAGGTCTGAGGAAGCCAATATGAGTCCCGTGTATCCATGGGAGTTTTAAAATCTTATCATGTACTCTAATACTTCACCTGATGTGCATTATCCTGCCTAATATAAAATGGAATTTAATTTTATGATCATATTAAATGTTATGATTATAAGAGCTGTAAACTTAAAAGTCAATATGATGAGGTGCAAAAATATACTTACACTGCTCTTCCTTAAGTGTATAATATTCACGACTAATGATGATATGTCCACCCAGTTCATCGTAACTCAATTCAAAAGAATTCATAATCTCTATGTGACGACCAGTCTGCTTTCCAATCAGAGCTCCAAGCACTGTAAATAAATATGAATACAAATTTAATCCTTGCACTAACAATTAAAACAATTATTAAGTTCTCATTGCCCAGTAACTCTGTAGGCCTTGGTAATCTGAATTTTGGCAACCCAAACTTTTGAGTACAGTAACCCAATTGAATTTATGTTCAAATAACCGGGTAAATGACAGGAATAACTAGGCTTGAAACACACAATTGTAAAATACATAGTGTAAATTGCCCTCATAGGAGAGAATCTGGAGAATGGCCTACACTTATACTGAACAACGAAAACCGAAACCTGCCAAAGCCGGCGACTCGGAGGTCTGCATTTGCAGATATCAGTAACAGAACTGAAGCAAAAAACTGGTACAGAGGCCAGGAGCTCCTAGTATGTATTGTTACCTGTTGGTGGCCAGTCATAACTAGAGATGGGGGAGGGGGGGGAGTGACCTAGTCTGTGTGAATCATTTGTAGAGTTGTTTGGTTGTTTCAGTACTGTACTTTTTGTGAACCTTACAGTTGTCTGCATTGCTTTGCCCATTTTCTGGATGTTTTCTCAGTGAGGGTGATCGTAACAGTCCCCCTGCTCCTCTGTGCCTCTCTGAGAGGCCCAGGTTCTGGCTTCGGTTTTCACTAGGCCATACACGACTCCTAAGGCTGATGTGACTCAGTAGGGGAAAAAGAGAACTAGCTTTTGGGATAATCCAGAATAGTACTGTATATAATAACTATAAAAAGATGCACAATGTTAAAAAATAGATGACTGGAAGACATTTTGGACTGAACAACACATTAACACATCTGTGGAACAATCAAGTAAAATTAGGTGCATTAGCACATCATTGGAACACAAAATATTCAAAGGTTCTCAATTTCTTCAATTTTTTTTATTTAATGGTAAATAAGAAATAGGTAGAATGGACTGTTGCAATGGAAATTTCTCTCTACTCAGTAAATATAACTACTGTACCTGTATAAATACAATGTAGCTGGTGTACACTGAAGGGGGACCAGTAGCCATGTGTATCTGTCAACTTGTTGAATTATCTGTATTTTATGTTTAATAGTCAACACTAAAAGTACATGCTTCCTCTTATTTTGGGAAAACATTAACACTATTGTTTGCTGACATACTGAAGGAATGTTTTGTCATTTTCTTAATTAACCTTTCGACATGAGGGGGTGCTTGAGTGACAGCTATTACCCAAACACCTCTGGTGGTTAAATGTAGTTATCTTAACACTTTGAGGTTCCACAGACTGATTATCTCGTCACTCATTTTTCTACTGAATGTGTTCCAACGACGCAATACTGAGTCACTCATTAAAATATTTTTAAAAAATTTAAATTTTATCAGATCAATCTGGTAGTGGTTTTAAAATAAGCGCCTTTAGATTGCACACAATTTGATACCAAAATCAAAGATATAACATGAAACTTGATGTCCAAACACTTGAAATATTATAAATAGGCCTATAGTCCGAATATTAAAATAATTGTTAAAATTCTATTTATTGTCCTATTATCTTGGGACTAGTTTTAAAATGCGCGCCGTTTTATTTCGAACACTTTGATACCAAAATGAAAGATGTAACACAAATATTTATGTCAGAACACTGGAAAGATATAAATAAATTTGTGATGATGAGCATCCAGAATTAAAATATTTGTTAAAAATCCAGTTATTGCTCTATTATTCTGGGACTAGTTTTAAAATACTCGCCTTTTTATTGCGAACAATTTGATACCAAAACGAGCGACGTAGCACGAAATTTGATGTTATCAAATTGAACGAGTTGAACATTAGGTTGCAATGTACAAAATGGTGCTCGTTCATGGGTAACTTTAGGCTTTTCTGCGGGGAGGCCATCCAGCCTTTTGTACATTTTATTCATACACATCTGTAGGGAATTTAATTGCGAACACAATGATACCAAAATGAGCGACGTAGCACAAGAATTAAGGTAAAAAAATGGAACGAGAATGCACATGTTACTGATTTTGTGCGTTTTTGCCGACTTTACGCTTTGCTGTTGGGAGTCACGCTAGGCTTTTGGACATTATATTTATACACACCTGTAGAGAATTTAATTGCGAACACAATGATACCAGAACGAGCGACGTAGCGCGAGAATTAAGGTGAGAAAACTGGAACGAGTATACACATTTGAGTGTCACCGCGCGCTTACCCGCACGGAGGGGCCACGATCCCCCTGTCAACCGCGAGTTTCCACGGAGCGCGAAAGTGTTAAATACTGTACCGATTACTTGGTCTCTACAACCACCCTTATCCATGCCACAACTGAGATGGAAATCCAGGCCTTATAGACACCTGGAGCACAGTTGTAACATACTGTAGTTAAAAACACAATACAGTACCACAAATAAATATAAATGTAAATAGTTCTTAAAACTACCATCAAGGGGCTATAATGTTCTCTAGCAATGTATCAATGCAAGATCACAAACCATATGTACAACAGCCCCCACATCAATCTGAATGATCCTAGGTGAAGATTTGTCAATACTGTACAATATGTTGATAAAAAATGAACTTTTGATAACTAATAATATAATAAATTACCAAAAATGTGTGTACCAAAACTGAAACATGTATCATAAATTAAGAAAAATAATAAGATAGTAATGATTCAATTACAATGCAATACTGTAATGTACACTACAGTATACTGTACTGTACCACAACTGACACACAAAAGCTTTGGCTTAGACCAAACTACAGAAGGTAAACTCGCAGACTCATTAATATATCAAATATTGCAGCACTGAGGATGTCCACAACATTAGTCTGGATCAGTAAACATAAATGATCAAATGGTAAGGTGCATGGCTAGATGGACTGTATGCCTGGCCACCAAAAATTACAAGATCATAATAAAGTACACTGTATCAACTTATTTAATTTATATATTGAATAAAATATGGTGTTTGTTTATATTCATTAGTGTAAACAAAAGACGAAATGCAAATGAGAATAGACAAGACATAATTATTCCACATGCAGCAGGAGGGAAATGTGTGATTTTCAGCTGAGAACCCAGGTACAGTATGTCATTTTAAGTACAGTACTGTGCTTTATTTCCAGCAGTACAAATAACAAATCAAACAAATCAACAAATAACAAATCAATTTAATACACTTCCACAACAACTCAATAAAACGTGAAGCTTACCTTGCACTGGCTTGCCTTCCTGAGCTCTCTGACGTGTCCAATGCTCCGAGATATTAAGTATGACCAAGGGATGGAGTGACACAGAAACACTGCCCACTGTGCCTGCTGATGCCATCACAGTATCTCCATCTCCACTAACAACTTCACTGTTACTGCCTCCTGCAACAACTACACCCATAACAAGGCATTACAATCAGAGTTTATAGCCTACTGTACTGTATACTGTACATATTTGCACAATGTCTTCCCAAATTGTGGTAAACAGTAATTTTCTCATCGATCTTCTTCATAGCACATTTAATGCTACCCATTCATATGCTGATAACTCTCTGCACTCTTCATCATAATTTAATTATACTCCGCCTTTTTGCTGCCCAGTCCTCATATATTTTATCTAGATTTAAAATTTAGTCAAATTAAATATTTAATTCCAATAAAGTACAGTTTTGGTTAATTACATCAAAGCAAGATTCAGCAAATTACTAGTTCTATTTTACAAACTCTTATATCAAATCTCAGTCATTTTTTAATTTTCTAAGCATGTCATGTCTGATTTATCCTGAAAACCTGACATCTAAGTGATTACCAAGAGTGCTTCCTAAAAGTTGAACTAAATCACTGTCTTCCTTGACCCCCTTGATTTCAAATCATTCAAGAACCATCTGAGGAGTTTTATTTTGAGCTCTGACGGATTTTTTCATATCTCAAGGTTAGGCACTGTTGAACGAGTTATTCTGCACTTGCAATAACCTATTCAACAAAAATCCAGTGTTGAATGTAATGAAATACCTCTTTCTAGTGGGCCATTCAATAACTTCTCGACAATACAATCTGGAAATGACCAAGCCTTGGGTAATACACTAGGCTTCTGAAGACCAATGAGAGGGTTTCTCGTAAAAGAAGATCTCGTAAAAACTTGCAAAACACTGAACATGAAAACTTAAAACTGGTTCATTACTTCACATGTCTATTGCTACACTGACTAGTGACCACAATTTCAAGCTTGTCAAGAGGAATTACTTATTTTTCTAGACATGAAAGGAACCAAGGAACAATTTAAACTTGGATTAAAGTGAGAAAATTAAGAGAATTAAGGCGAGAAAACTGAAAAGAGGATACACTTTTCAGTGTCGCCGCACGCTAGCCCGCACCGAATGGTGCATGACGTCATTTCTGCGGCATGCACGAACGGCGTGCGATAGTGTTAACCTCTATTTTCCCCATACATTCCTAATCTTAGACTAAAGCACACACCAGAAAATGAGGAGATAATGACGTTTTGGTTCATCCTGGACTCCTCATTTTCTGGTGTTTAGTCTTCATACCTTAACGCCACGTTATTGTGACTCATCGTCTGCATCCTAATCTTGGCTTTGATATATGAAATTTTTATAATAACAGTAAGAATAATGTAATATAATACTGTATATTAAAATAGTATTTGACTATACCAACCAGATGTTGACTGAGATGGTGGTGGAGGTGGTGGAAGGGGCGAGGTGGGAGCAGCAACACTTATGATGCCACTAGCAGCTTGGCTAGAGCTCTCCACAGCCAGTGACTGAGATGAGGAAGTGGCTTCAGCAGCCACATCTTCGTCCACTTCCATACTTGCCATATCTTTATTGGACATTAAGCTCTGAGGAAACATGGTTATTATAAATAAGTTATCCCAATCACTAAGGATTACTACTGTGAGTTTAGCATAACGATATATCCTAACGGAATTATTCACAGCTCAGTATCACTGAAATCAGCTTATAATTACTAAACAGTATATCAAAGTCTGAAATAATATTTTCAATGTGAACTATACCAATTTTTTTTTTTTAATTCATTTACAAAACATCACGATAAAGAAATAGGTGTACAGGTATTGTACCTTAAATGCTTTCTAGAAGGTTGGAAGGTTGTAACAGAACCCATGGGCATCACACCAGGAACAAAAACCTATTTGATATTCCAAGAGCGCGCCTTAACCAAACTGGAAACGCTTTACAAATCAAGGGACCAAGAATGTGGAATGACCTTCCCAATCATGTCAAAGGCTGTACCTCTCTCAACCAGTTTAAGTGAAAAACTAAGTACTACCTAATAAACTCCATGTAACCTACCTTACCCCCTAAATGTCAATCCATGTCTGGCTATTTTCAAACAATACTGTTTGTTGACCAACTTGTATAGTTGCTGATTTCTGCCATGTTCCCCTCCTTCTATTTTTTCCTTTTTTTTTAACACAATTTATACTTTAATCTCAATTAGTATTAAGTTTTAATCCAAGTGTTTTTTTCTCCACACTGTTCAAAACGCAGTGCGTATTAGTGGCTTTAGGTATTGTATGTACATACTCCATCTATAAATCCAACATTAAGTTTGCAACTCATCTATGTATGTACTTTTACTTGAATAAACATTTGATTTGATTTGTGTGAACGTGGGTGATTAAGGAAGGAATTCCTGGCATTTTCCGAGTTACCATATAGGTGATGTTTTCTTTTCTCATTGCCTATTAGTGAGAGAAGAAAACATATACTGTGTGTTGGTGTTTTATTTATGAACATATATGCTCTCTGTTGGTCAGAGAAATCATATACAGTACTGTGTGAAGTAGATGGATATTGGTCATTTAATAAAAGTTTGCCTACAGATCGTAAAAACTAATTTAACATATAGTAATTCATAATTACGGGGATAAATTTATTTTATAGTTAAAATATTATATTATTATTATAGTTAAAGATAACTTTATTTTGTAGATAAAGTTTTGCCAAATATGGTGAGATATGGTAAATTCATGCACAGCTATTTTCCAGCATGTAAGTCATATCGTAATAAGCTTAAACACATTTTAAAACCTACCTAATCCAATCCAAACCAAACCTACTTAACAGCCAAACCTAACAATTTATATGGAGTTTACAATTAGAAAACGAGCTTTTATTGAAACACCTGTACAGTATTTGACTGTACCCTGTTAGGCTGGAGTAAGCTATGTTAGCGTAGGCTAGGCTAGGCTTGATTAGGCTAGGTTAGTATAGTGTGCTTGGATAGAAAGCTAATCCTGACACATTAGTCAGGATTAATCACATAAAAACAAAACGCCCCAGAATAAACTTTGATGTTGCATACCTCACACACAAAATTCATAAAACACCATAGTGCATTGTGTATTATTTTCATAATGGAAGGTTATGTGTTTTTAAGAAGCCGTGATAACAGATGATCAAAACTTTTAGCAGTTCTTAAGACCACATTCATCAAGATAGATTTAGGTAGGTTTTAAAACAAAATATAAATGCCTAAGCAAACAGGCGAATGTACAAAGTGGCTGTGTTAAAAGTCCTTGCAGGTCAAAATATTTACAAAGTCATCTCTCAAATTCAGCGTTATCAGCACACTGTTATCTTCAACTAAATCATATTTTAAGAATGTGCAAGGTATATAGTTTAGTGTGAGTGTACAAACGTTACCAACTACAGTAGATAAAATTATAAATATTTATTAAGTTTATGGAATGCATAGAAACTACCAATAAGGAATAAAGTGCTAAATTGTGGCATTTTTTTACCACTTTTGTGCATCAATAAATAAACGAATGGATTTCTAAGGTTATCTAATGCGTAAGTAGTTTAAAAATAGTGGTAAATACCTGGATTTCTTAGGGAATTACTAGAACATTACCAGCTCGTAAACACACACAGCTCGCCACCACATTTCAACAGAAAACGAGAATCAAAACAAAGCTGAATTCGAGGCTTCAGGGGCTCCGAGACCCCGAACTCTGGGTCTCGAGTCGCAGTGAAGCCTCGGGTCGCCGCTCACACTGCTCGAGGTCTCGAACCCCGAGTCTCGAATGTTTTAGAAAACAGACGTGGCGCGGAGGAATATTGGATGACAGCTACACGTGTCTCCAACAACACCTTCAAAACCTACTTTGGACGAGTTTTCTTCCTCATATTAATGTTACAAAAATTAAAAGATAGACTTCCTGTTATAACCATAGGAACCTTTTCCTCGCGTCCTATTTTGACTTTACCAGAATTTGTAGTAGAATTGCATCTAGTACTACCATTTATTTTCCAATGAAGGACAAAATACGATATTTGTTGTGTTTATAATATTATTTTTGATGTGGTAAATTGATCTAGAGTTTAAATTTAGGCCAGAAGATTGGTTTAGAGGGGTGGTATGGAAGGGGAGAGGCACTAGTTTACTATGCGGTGTGGGAGGACGGGGGCGAGGTAGGGCTGCGGACTACCCTGGCAAGTGTCACTCGTGTCGCACCTTCTCTCTTCTCCCTCTACTTCATCTCCCACACCTCCACCCACACACAATGGCTCCCAAGCAGAGAATGAGGATTGCTAACGATAAGGCCGCCAAAAACGTCACCCAGAGAGGGAATGTGCCCAAAACTACGGTAAGATTTAGGCTGTTTACCTCTTGTGTTGTCGTCAAGTTGACATATTGTGGCTCGTCCTCGCCATAAGACGGTATTTTTGCTAAGGTTATCTAATAGCTACGGTAGCTTACAGTTTATACAACTCCTAAGTTTTGATTTTATTGAAGATAAATGTATAATATTTGTTTGGGGGTGATGGTTATTGTACCTTTAGGGTCTAGGCCACGAGAACAAGTTTTTCATTTTGCTCGCCAGCTGTTCTAGAGGTGTTCCCTCTATAGGTAGCTCTAGGGGTAGCTTGTATACATGTGGGCTATGTATATTTTGTATACTAGTAATTTCATACAGGAGACTGCGTATTGTAATCTCGGTTATCAATAAATTGGTCGTTTAGTCGTGCCTAGCCACAGTTTAACTCTTGGGTTCTGTCGTTCTATGAATTCGGATGCTTTTTTATTGGACCAGATGCAATCATTTTAAATTGACACAATTTAAATTTTAAACATAAAGTCTAACACATTAAACATGATAAACAGGAGTAATCTTTTTAACAATTCATCACATTTCATTGAAATGTAGTTCTGGGACACCCTGTATTATGCTAAGGAAAAAAAATATAGCTGGACACGATATATAAGCCAGCAGATTGTATATTCTTGTATTGTATCTAGATCCAAATTGTATCCAGTTCTTCATAGCATAATGACTAAAATTTCTTGACTTGGTGAAAATATAAAGTACAGTACTTTGTCGTATGTGGATACTGTACATAATAGTAGTAGTAGGCATCCATCAGTCTCGGGAGACTATGGAGTTGCGCTCTGATGTCGGCCTGGTCTATTACTGTACGTAATAGCTGGTGAAAATGATTAAACATACTAAAAGTGATGCAGGGGAATCCATAGATGCAGTGATGTCATTTTGGCTTCAGTTTTGCCTTGTCTATACTTTCATGCTTTAGTTTTTTTCTGTAATTTTTGCTTTCTAGTTGTTGTAAAGGGTGCTTGTTTATTTCCAAATGCTTCATTTTGTTTATATGAAAGTTAGCTGAACGTGCACATATGGACGTTCATTTCATGCAAAACAATCTAACATTGTTTTGTTTTTACAGAAAGCTGACGATGAGAACTATCCTGTTGGTCCATGGCTTCTTGGCCTCTTCATCTTTGTTGTATGTGGATCAGGTAAGATAGTTTCCTAACTTAAAGTATTTAGTGTCTAAGTATCTTCAATGTATTCCATTAAATGATCCATTTATTAAAGAGAAACAAGTAATTGTGTAACAGGTTGTAGGAAACTAAATATAATTGTATATTTTCTTGTCATAGTTTTGGTACCTTTTTTAAGGTTAATGGCTGTAAAGTGTCTTGAGAAGGTTGGATGTCTCATAACTCAGATTGGTAACTAAAGTTCCCAGCTCAATTTAAAATGTTTTTTTTTGATAGTTTGACAATAGGCTGTTTCTTGAGCTAGTGTAATTATATATCCTAAGTATATTTTTTAGGCAATATCTTTAATTTTAACTAAATATCTGTTAATATATGAAAACAAAAGCAAAATTTGCACTGAAAACGGCCCAATTTTAAGCTATGTACTGTACAGTAATGTCCAACATCTGTACAGTACTGTATTGTCATTTTGCGGTGAAAATGACTCTGGGTTTCTGGATGTTTTGCTATTTCCAACATACAGTATATGGGAATTTTCTTGTAGCAAATGATACACAGCTTGATTCAAATTTAAACATATTTTATATGAATATATGAACAAATTTGTAAATATAAACATTTTAATTTGATTTGTAGGCTTAAAAGGAAAAATATAATTATATATATATAATTATATTTTTCCTTTTAAGCCTACAAATCAAATTAAAAAGTTTATATTTACAAATTTGTTCATATTCATATAAAATGTTTAAATTTGAATCTAGCTGTGTATCATTTGCTACAAGAAAATTCCCATATATGTTGGAAATAGCAAAACATCCAGAAACTGTCATTTTCACCGCACTAATTTTTGTTTGGCCATATGTAAACTTTTTGCCCAAATTTGAAATTTGTGCATACAACCATTCAATTATATCAGCGGGTTACTGGCTACCTGGATAATCCACTATACCTCCAAAAACTATATTACAGTATATCAACGAGTATTCTTAATAGATTATACATAATACATATAAGAGTACTCGTTGATATAATAGTTTTTGGAGGTATAGTGGATTATCCAGGTAGCCAGTAACCCGCTGATATAATTGAATGGTTGTATGCACAAATTTCAAATTTGGGCATTAAGTTTACATATGGCCAAACAAAAATTAGTGCTAAGCCAGTATGACTAGAGTATTATCTGTGGTATAGAATATTAAAGTCTTAAGACATTTACCTCTTGCATTAGCATCCTGAATAGTGGGAAATGTCAAGTGAATTAGATTTAGAATATCTTGGACATTTGGTGTATAGGAACAGCAGGAAAGCAAAATTTTTAATCCTAAATAGTGGGACTTTACGGCTTTATAAATGTGACTGTAAGTGGAACAATGCACCTCTGACAATAAGATACAGGCAGTGGTAATAGCATTTTATGGTATGCAACTTGATACTCGCTCTAGCAGCCAAGTTTCCTCTCATTGGATGCTTATTTAAATGTGACAAATTCTGTGACTGGAAAGAATGAGTACAGTACAGTATATCTGTGTAATTAGATTTATCTTGAAACTTAGTTTCATGTTTATGAACTTCACAAATTAATATTGTAAATATTTTAAGATGTACATGCTAAACTAAGGGTAATTAGTCCTAATATAACTTAAATTATCATTGCTTGGATATTACATAGCATATTTTGTGCACAAAGCTAAATTTGAATACTGCCAAGTTAATTTTCAACCTTGTGGGGGTCTTGCAGTTTTAAAATCATGTTACTCTTAATGTACACAATTTTAGTTTCACAATGCTGGCATATATTGTGTAGTTCATATGCACATTCGGTATACAGTTACATGCAAATGATATTTTGCATGTACTGAAATATGATTAATAAGGAAGTTATTCCTTGAATAATCTTAAATATAATGGAAAAATATTTAGTTTATATTTTTTTTTCAGCTGTGTTTCAGATCATACAGTCCATCAGAATGGGCTGATTGACAGCAGTTGTGGCAGCTGAGTAAGAGGCCTTGATCCCCTTTGAATTTTGCCTTCACTTATCGACTCCTGAAGTGATATTTGGACACGTGGAAATTAATAAATGTATCAGTACACGGACCAGATAATGGATAGCTCTCTCACGGACACTTGACAGTGAAGTTAAATGCGCACATTCATCCTTTCCATTTAGAATTAAGAAGATACTTGGGTTAAAGTGTTACTTCATTTATTTTAAGGGATATATAGTACTGTAATTGGTTTTCATTTACTTTTGGAAAGTTTGCATTATTCCTTTGATGGTTTCCACTATGTATATTTGTATATAAGGAATATATATTTATATTGAAATGAAATAACCCCTAAAGCAGAGTTGCAGTGGATTCCATATATATGTTAGCAAGTTTTACATGTTACAATAATAAAGTAATACAGGGGAGCAATGTTTTATTTTACCCCTTGTATAAAGTTGAAGCTAGTTGGGTGGGACAGCATTTTAAATGCCATTTTCACTTAACTGATTGATCATTGAACTCTAGATTTAGTAATGTATTGGACTATAATGTTGTAACAAGAGCAGTACATAGTACAACATGAACATCATAACAGCATGAACAAGCCACGTGGAGGATGAACAAACCACAGGCGGCGGCAGACAATGTAAAAGTTACACCTCTGTACAAGTTAGCCATAGTCAGGTCAACGGTCATCGAATCACAAAGAGGTCAGAGTTGATGCCGTCATGATAATCTTCAGGGATTAACCCCTAAACATCAAATGCAAAACCCTCATGTTCAGCTGCCCCCCTCTCTTCCTCGCTCTACCTCCTGGGGCATGCGGAAATGCATTCCCTGGTGGAATGAGGACTGTGCTCGGGTTGTCTACTTGAAGAAACCCCGGCGCCGCAGACTGCCGATTCATTTATTTTGTTTCGGAAGGCGAGTGCGGTGGCCCATAGGACCATCCATATGGCTAAATGTGAGTGTTGGAAGTCTTATGTTTCCACCATTACATCCGAAACTCCTCTGCCGCAAATTTGGAAGAAAATCTGCTAGATAGCGGGTAAGTTTTTTCCAGATGTCTCGCCAGTCCTTCACCTCCGTGGTACTCTTGTGGCGGATCCAGTGACAGTCGCGACCAAACTGGGTTCCCACTTTTCGACTGTTGACTCTGGTTCTCATCTTCAATCCTTCCTTCCTTCCTTCATAAGCACGTTCTTGAATTTCATCCCTTAGATTTCCGCACTCATCTGACTTC